ATAAAAGAACGGAAAGACACCCGTTACACGGCAATCACAGCCCAACCCGGACTTCCAACACCACCTGCAACAAGCCAGTGGCTCCTGGCAATGGTGCTGGAACCAAGGGTGGGCCACGGCCCTCCCACTTTTAAAAAATAAACTGGCCTGGCTTGTCCGCTCTTCACTGAGGCAGACCACCCCACCTCCTTCCTCTCCTCTTTCCTCTGAGGCCCTGCAGTTGTGGGAGCTGTGCAGGGGAGCTGAGAGCACCCTGGGCTCTTCACCCATCCGAAGGCAGGTGGAGCTTCTGTGCCTGACCTTGCTCTGAAAAAGCCTGAAAAAGAGGGTGGAGCCTCAGCTTGGTCATGATAAAGAGATGTGCTGTGGGTAGCTGTGGGGTCCCATGGACCCTCCATGTGCCCTCGTAAGAAGGCCTAGGGTGCAGGAACATGAGCTAGAGGCTGTTCTCAGCATCCCATCCCCCACTGTGTGTAGGAGGAGGTCCTGTGCCACACGTGGCTTCCCGTGTAGTTACCACCATGGCTGGCCTATGGCACTGAGCCCCTGCACTCTTGCCAGAGCTGGGTCAGGGAGAGCCGTGTGGGTACCAGCAGTGAGCCTGGATCCTTCCACCTGTCCTGGGCAGGGGAGGGGGGGTCTGAGAGGGTGGGGATATGGGCAAAAGGCTGCTATCCCCCCTTTTGTGAAAGAGAGCATCCTTGACCTTGAGGGGTTGCTGACGTTAAACAGATCACAATGTAAACAAGGTCTAAAAGTTCTGGATGTTTTGAAAAATAGAAAAAAAAATAGGGTTGAGAAATCTGTGCACATCGATGCCTGGAATAAATCTCAGAAGCCACCAGACCTATGGCAAAGTTCTGGCCTATGGCAACTTACATCAAGGCAAAGTTCTGGCCCAGGTTTCCCTGAAGCCTCAGCCATCAGTCTTTTGCAAGTTGTCGCTATCCCTTTATATTTATTATTGCACAGCTGGAATCGTGGCTATGGCAGTGGAAACTGCCATGGTTCTCATTAATGGGATCGTGCATGTTCCCTCTTATCAGTTCACCAGGGTTCATACTTCCCAGGCTTTGCGTTCAAGTGAACTCGAAACTCCCAGCAAAGCTCTGCCAAATGCACTGAGTTGTGCATGATTTCCGTCCAAAACCATAAATTGTCCTGCGGGCAACGTGGCCCGAGATCACAATGAGGTTCGCAGCCCTCAGCAACTCTGGAATGTGGGGGTATGCAAAGAAATCTGATATCAGACAGGTCTTGTTTCATTTCCCATGTCGCTAATAAAGAGCTAGTACTTCATGGGGATGATAGGAGAGAGTTGGAAATCTGCCCTTAACAATATAAGGCCAGGTCAATACTGCAGACTTATTGGTGTAAGTATGTCGCTTAGGGGTGTGAAATCCACACCTCTGAAAATTACACTGGCCTAATGGAGACAGCACTGTATTGATGGGCGGGCTTCTTCCATTGATATAGCTACTGCCTTTCTTACAGCTGCGCTTAAGAAGCCTTTTAAATGTGGGTCTGCCAAAGAGAGAAGCATGGTGTCTCAACCAGAACACTATCAGTAAATATTAGAGATGAGTCAACTCAAACCCCGGATCAAGACTGTGACAAATTGGGAAAATGTCTGTATTATTTCTGAAGAATATTATGCATGACTTGGTCTCCTGGGTCCATTCCCAAAGGGGCCTATAAAGAGGGGTTGTTAAACAACGAACGATGGATTAAACAGTGACACTGATCAAATAGCTGGGCCTCTGGGCAAGTGCCCTCTTTGCCCCCTTCTATTCCCCTCCCCCCCACGTGCTCCCCAGTTGTGGGCCTGGATATCACGGGGTTCATGGAAGAACTCTTCAGTCAACCTACTTACCGGATTCAGCATTAGAAAAACAGCAGCTACTAGTATAAGCCTCAGAGAAAGGTTGGATTTCAGGATCACCCCTGAAAAGATGTAGCAGCACAGGCCTGCTACTTGAAAAAGGTGCATTTAGAGTATTGGAAAAGGATCTCAGAAGGGGCAGTTTGCTGTGGGACTGTGACACACACACCACTGAACTGCAGGGGAAGGAGATGTTCCAAATGCAGAGCTAAGGGCTGTGTCTACACTTGCACTTGCTCCACAAAAGTTTTGTCATTCACTGATGCTTAGCCCCAGCTTCCCCCTCCCCCTCACTCCTGCCAACAACCAATTTAGTGGCAGGATGTGTGAATGCTGCTTTGTCAGCAGGAGCCCTCTCCTGCCAACAAAGTGAAACCAGCTCATTGGGAGTAAAAGTATCTAGTCTGCAAAAATGCCGACAAATGACATTCACAAACACTGAGTTTTAGTGACAGAGCTGTGTTGACACAGCCTTGCCTCTAAAAACTGCATAGTGGAGACATACTCAAAATGGACAGTTTGAGTAAGATACGAATCAGTTTAAATGAAGCTTACATTCAAAATCTGAACCGCAAAAAATATTGGGCCTGATTCTTTGTGCTTCGTATTTTGTAACTCTTTGACCCAAGCGTGATGGGTGTAATGTGCTGCCATCTGCATGAGTGGGAAACTGTAACTTGGTAGTATTTTATACCTGCTTTGCCCAGCAGGTATAAGTGACCACATGAGGTGTGAGAGAGTAGAGAAACAGGCCTGTGTGTGTATTTTTTTTTTGTTTGTTTCATTTTCGTGACACTCTCCGTTTTAGACTGGATGGGAAACACACAGCACAAAGGGGGAACGTTTGTTTGTTTCATTTCCGTGACACTCTCCGTTTTAGACCGGATGGGAAACACACAGCACAAAGGGGGAACTGGGGCTATTTTTGAATAGTTTACAACCCTGCCCCACCAAAGATGCATTGGAAATCTCCTAAGAAAACCTGATAGAAATGTAGCCGTGTTAGTCTGGGGTAGTTGAAGCAAAATGCAGGACAATGTAGCACTTTAAAGACTAACAAGATGGTTTATTAGATGATGGGCCAGTTTCTGAACTTCTGGGCCCTTGGGACTTATCTAAACAGCATCTAGACTTTCTGAGGTTTGTTCATTTCTATGGCATTGATTATTAGGAAGCAGTTATGTCTCCTGTGGGGATGAGCTGTATTGGGGCAGATGGAAGCAACAGTAAGGAAGCACCTGAGCAATGCAGCTAGGAGGCATTGTGTCTGTGTGCTAGATTAGATTGGCAGTAGCAGCAGTGGTGACTGGGAGCTCCTGGCCCCTTTGAAACATCAGGCCCCAGTGCAATTGCCACCTTTGCTCCTCCCCCCCATTGGTGGACCAGGCCCCCTCCGATGAGAAATTCGGCCTGGGAGATTATGAGGGTTCTGTCATAGCAACGGCAGGGACCCCCCTTACTACATGAGTGGAGGGAGCCAGAACAGCCCAGCCACCTACTCTGCCCCCCTAGGGTTTCCAGGTGTCTGGTATTGAACTGGACAGTTCGGTATTTTTGTCTCTTGTCGGGTAAAAAAAAATCAGAAAATACCAGACACCTAAAATGTTGGGTACTTCCTGATTTTTTTCCTGGCCAGGAGGCAAAAATCCTGGGCTGTCCGGCTCAATACGGAGGCAGCCTGGCAACCCTAGTGCTCAGGGGGTTCCGCAGCGGAGCTGTCCAGCCCAGCACTGGGAGGCAAGATGGCGGGCGGCTACCGGCAGCCTTGTAGGGCCAAAAAGCCTCACCACGCATTTCTTAAAGGGGCCACGATGGTTTTTTTTGTTTTTGTTTGATTGGGGTCTTTTTTGCTTAACAACTCTTGGGGTCTTTTTTTTGTTTGTTTTTTGTTTTGGTTCAGTATTTTTTCTGAAACCATCTGGCAACCCTACACCCCCTTGCACCACCCTCTCCCGGCCTGCTGCACCCAGCTTCTCCATGGCAGCAGGAAGCAGACCACTCTGGGGACTCTGCTTCCCACGGCCGCAGAGAAGCTGAGCACAGCAGGCTACAAGAGGGCAGCGTGGCGGGAGGGAGCAGGCTGCTGCTCTTCTGCAGCTCCCACCGCCTACAGGATGAGTGGGGGGAACCCCTGCTGCTGCAGTGCCAGGCTCCCTCCTACCCATAGGACAGTTGAACAACCTCCGTGGGGGGCCCCAGAAGCATGGGGTTGGTGTGACCACTCCAAATTGTCCTAAGGACGGGACGGCTCTGCGCAAAATAATGAACCTATATGGTGCTGAGTTCGTCACATTGGGAATGGTGATAAGAAACAGCAATCCCCATCCCTCTCCTTCTAGATAATAAACAGTTGCTTATTAATTAAGGATATTATAGCTTGTTTGTTTGCTCTGGAAAATCACACATTTGCTAGAGGCTGCAAATTATCTTCTCTTTCATTTTGGAGATGTTTCCTGCACTGGTATCTTGGGATCGTCTTGTTTTGCTTTGATTCCCAATCAGATACAGTGTAAGAACTATATCCCTTTAAAATAATTATAACCAAAAAAGAAACATCTCATCCTGCAGGAAATAAGCCCCATGTTTTAGTGGTGTGTGAGAAATGGCAGTCTATGACTGTACTTTAAACCTAGAAATGATGGTGTATGATAACCTCAATTAATTTTTTTTGTACTTTCAATGGGCAACATAACCCAGTCAAAAATTAGGTTAAATAAAACATAAGATGGCTTTTTATTTAAAAAAAACCCTGATGTATTAAAAATGTATTTATAATTTTATTGCAGCTTCCAATGCCCTGGATTGCTGCTGTTAATTACTGACATTATTATTCTAGCATTACTATGTTCAAAATATAATAACATTTAAATTGGTTATAGAACAATTCAGTCATTAAGAGAGAATGCCCTGTGTATATTGGTGATTATTGAGAGAACATGGAGCTTTTGATTTTATTCATTTGTTCGTACAAACTTTAACATTTTAGAAGTAGCAAGCAATGTGTAATGTTGTTAGGTTACTGTATTTAACTCATTTGTGTTGCTGTTTAAACTAATCAAGCAACAATAATAAAGCACTGTTTTTAGATAAACATTTTTTTTTTATTTCTACAGGGAACCCATTTGTGCTTTTATCTAAATGTGCCATGAACATGATCCACTACATTACTCCTGGCAAAGTAAATCCATTTAAATCAACTAAATTAAATGCAGTTCCTGAGATTAAGTTGAAAGGCAATTATTCCAGTTTTGGAGCAGCTTGGATTTTCCCTGTAAGTGATTTTGTTACAGTTCTTCCATATTATGCAAACAAATGATTTAATCAGGAGCAATGAACGAAGATCTCTTGCTCTCATTTTCTCTCTTTCTACTGTAGGTATAAATAATTGATACAGATCCAGAATAAAAATACAGTACAAAATATATAAAAAAATGATTGATAGAAAAAAATATATATATATACACATACACACTAAAGGCAAAAACTCATACAAAAACAACATTAAAGTTGAGAAATCAAAAATCTCATCACATTTTGCTCAGAGTTGAGGCACATTTCTTTGACTTTGCCTTCTCTAATAAACATATAGCAGGGTGTATGTTTATATATATAATCTGAAACAAAACACTCCAGTGCACATGCTTCTTCCCTTGGGGAGAAGAAGAGAGAACAAACATGTGACAGATGTTAGTCATCTTGCTTAATGCACTACTGGATGGCGTTTAGATATATGCTGATGAGAGTGATATATGAACCTGAACAGAATAGCACACTCAAATCCCCACATTCAGAAGTCAAGGTTTTGCTTGGTGTTTGAATTGATCCAAGGCAGGATAGCCAGTATGACCTACTGCCATGAGTTGTGAGCACAAGCTACGCAAAGTAGGTTTGTGCAAGTTAGGTTGAAGACTCCTTAAAAAAGCTTTGATTCTGCAAAGCCTTAATCACCTCCATTACTTTACATGCATGAGTAGTCCTACTGATTTTAATGGGGCTACTCATCTCTGTAAAGTTACACGTTTAAGTCTTTGTGGATCAGTGGCTTAATTTTTGAATCTCATGACTTGTGCTGACTGTCTAAAACTGACAGTTGCCCTAGCAGTTATTTTTCATACTCAATTTTCTTTGTTAAAGAAAAAAAATGCTGCTGAACAGTGATAGTGCTTCAGCACCGGTATAAAGCCATTTAGATTACACTATTAGGTGGTCTGGTGGCCAGTTTTCAACCCATGTGAGCCTCTACTCAGCCTGGGCTGCCTCCTTCCTGTGTCTGCTGGCCACAGGTCCCAGCTCCAGCTCTACAGGTAAGTCCCTCCCAACCTCTGCAGGAGATAAACAGGAATAGTAGCAAGTGACGGGTGGTGGAGAGAGGGGAAGGGGAAGAGGAGCAAACAGGGTTGGAGGTCTTGGGGGGAAGAGGCAGGGCAAGTTCTGGCACTTCTACTGAAATGTTTGGTTTTTAAATATTACAAAGTTGGCAACTGTATAGCCAAAGCATCTAAACCAGCCCTTTACTGAGGCATCTCTATTTTAAGAAGCAAAGGAAAAACCGAGTTGTGTTTTTGTAACATTATTTGTAAGGTCTGAACATGGCCTGTAAGTTTTGTTTTTCAAAAGACAAAATAAAAGGGAGGTGGTTTATAGGGTGTTTCCATTTTTTTTAACCTTAGAGATACCATGAATGTCAATTCAGATCTTCTTTAGTATTTACTTGGAGGTCTTAATGGTTAATTGTGATGTTTCTCATTCCATATCTGAAAGTGCAATGGCAGCATTAAATCATTAACATGGATGTCATTTCTCTGAAGAATTTAGTGTTTATGTTAAATAGTTAACAAAAACTAAGAATCTGAATAAAAATCACTTCTCATTTCACTTGCATGGTATAGCTGATGTCAACAACCATTTCTCCAGTCATCTATAGACTCTTCCAGGAAATCAGGAAACAACATGTGAATTACTAATATCATAAAAAATCTTTTTGAAATTCTTCAGAAAACTAAGAGGCAATAAAGACACAAACCCCCAAGTAACTTTTTAATTTTTAATTTTTCAAGTGAATAGTTATAGATATATTTTTTTAATGCAATGAGAAAGACAATTTTTTTCTTTATAGGTTCCCTTTAACTGAGATATCCTTAAGCAATTAAAGGCTTAAAGATAAACTACTTGGGGTGCTCTGTCAATTCTTAAGGTGCTGAGAAATCTAAATAGAAATAGTTTAACTTGTGTGCATGAACTCTCTGATTTTAAGTGATCATATGATGTCTCAGTACTTTTCACTGACTCTGTCAAATTCAGCAGAGGCGAATTTTTCAGTTTAACATTAGATTTTGTACTTCAGAGTTTTTACAGCTATGCTGCATGAGAGGGGATGAAGACTCTGTATGCTGATAAGTGAAACAGCTCTAAGGGCAAGGTGCTGACACCTGCTGACCATCTGATGAGAGCAGAAAAGCCTAAATACAACAGACCTGCTCTAGTTCCTGTGAGCAAGGCTTGGGCTGCATAGTACAGAGTTAATGATGATGGGACAGTGGAGAGGAGAAGCCAGCTGATCTGAGTGGGATTGTGGTAAAAATGCCCAATTTCCATCTACACTGCATTTTTCACCAGTGCTACCCTGTATAGAGTGTAAGAGAGGTGAAATTGCAGGTTCTGTTTTTGCCAGTGTAGGCAAGTCCCCAGATAACACTGTTTTTATTAAAAGACTGCTGACAAAGTATTCCTGTCCAGTGTAGACAGGATTTAACCATGCTATAAATCAGTTTAGAGAACAAGCTTACAGCCTCGGTACCTTGCTTCCTGTTTCATATGGCCCGTTTGGGAGAAGGAGGAAGAAGGGAAAGCAAAGTTAAATTTAGCTGCACAGTTCAGTAACCTTGCGTGACTTTGTTATCAGCAATACTTCCACTGTTGTTTACATAGCAGAGGGGTATGACATTGATTCAATGTCCCATTGGACATGGATCCCTTCCCCTTCCCATTGTGAATAGACAATTACTAGACAATAAAGCCATTACATACAGAGGGAGGAGCTGGCAGCAGCCAACAAATCTTGCACTCTGCATTTACAGGACTATAATTATCCAAAGTTTTAAAACACAATAGTATCAGCCAAAAGGCAACATCTGGGTGGAGACAAAGACGTTCCAATTAAATGATTGACGAGCAACTAATGTATGGGATAACTCATTTCATTGATGGGATTGTGATTTTTAAAATGCCAGTCAAGTTAACAAATGTGCTTAATGGTTTAAGTGTAACAAATGGACAGAAAAGCAGATCAAATGTAAAAGAAATCTGCTTCTATATTATTTGAGTTAACGAAGCAGCAGTAAGTTCAGCCTCAAATTGATTGTGGAGAAGGTTCCAAATGGATGTGCAGAGCGGAAGGTGAGGGAAAGCTCCAGCTTCTGCTTTGCAAATTTATGTGGTGATGACAGCAGTGCCAATCTCTGGAATTTTACAAAATATGTTAGTGCCATTTATTCTCTCTGCTTCAGTTTCTCCTCGGTAAAGCAAAGATAACAAGGCATCTGTCCGTTCTACCTTTGGTCTGCCATTCCTGTTTTAGTTTGTAAGCTCAGGCCCTAGAGTCATAGAAATGTTGGACTGCAAGGGACATCAAGAGGGCATCTAGTCCAGCCTACTGCACCAATGCAAGACCTCAACCTGTTCTTAGAAATCTCCAGTAATGGGGACACCACAATTCCCCTGGGAAGCCTATTTCACTGCTTAACTACCCTTGTAGATAGAAAGTTTTTCCTAATATCCAAGCCAAATCTCCCTTGCTTCAAGTTAAGCTGATTATTTCTTCTACTTTCAGTGGGCTTTAATTCAAGTGTCTCTTGACTGCAGGAGTGCAATCTATGTCCTCTCACTAATCCTTCCTAACAGCCTACCACGGAACAGGAGGATGTCAAAAATCTTGCGCATCCCAATTCAGAGAGCCCCTGGGGGAGATAAGCAATTGCTTAGCTCTTCCCTCTGATCTTCAGATCAAGCCTTTCCAGAAGATGTGCTTTAGTCAAAACAAGTTATTAGCTCAGTACAGGGGTAACTGGGTGAAATTCTTTTGCTTTTATTACAAAAGAGTTCAGACTAGAGGATCTAATGTTTCCTCTTGCCTCAAAATCTGTGAGTCTTTCAGGAAAAAAAAATAGGGGAAGCTACTCCAAAGTAAAATGGACCTTGTAGGGGCTATAGATATTCCACACCAAACATTGTGGACAATGTTCTCACAGACCACTGGTAGATGTAAAGGAATCTGCAATTATGTGCATGTTGTTGCTCACCACGAGAAGTAGATTGACTAATACAACTGGTTTCTGAAATGGAGGGAGAGAAGGCAGTTCAGTCTTCTTAGGACCTTAGGGTGTGTCTACACTGCACCGTTATTTTGAGATAACTAGCGTTATCTTGAAATAATGCGAGCGTCTACACAGCCATTCTGTTACTTCGAAATAATTTCAAAATAACAGCTGGCTAATTCCGAAATCTGTAAACCTCATTCTACAAGGAATAATGCCTATTCCGAAATAGCTATTTTGAAATAAGGCATGTATAGACGCTCCACTGCTGCTATTTTGAAATAGTCCCTCACCAGGACCATTCTAAGTTATTCCTCCCCAGTGCCTCCTGGGGTTCTAAATTGAGGTAGCACATCCACATTAGGGAAGCCTGCCTCAGGCTAGTTTTGAGGCTTCCCTCTAGTGTAGTCGTGCTATTTCAAAATAAACTATTTCAGAATAACTATTCCAGAATAGCTTATTTCAGAATAAGCATGCAGTATAGACATACCCTCTGATACTCAATCTTTGGCCCCTCTCTGATATTTTAAAACATAGAATTGACTTTATAACTCAAGATGGGCCAAAACCATGTAGTCTGGCTCCAGATATGAATTTTCCCAACTTTCAGAAGCTCAGTTATCACAGTGACAATTGTTTGTATCATTCTGGGGAGAATCGCCAGTTCATCCCATTAGTAGCATAGGTCCCATATACCGACCATGAAAGTTGGTTCTGTATCAGAATTCACTCAGAGTTCAAGAGGGGGCTGGGAATGTCTGAATGGCAGGCTTTAGCTTGGGCCTTTTTTGATTTATATCAGATTTTAAAGTCTTAAGCATGCAGGTGCTGGGTGCATTTCCTTTAGACTGCCAAGATTTGTTCCGGTTTGACTGTAAATTACTACTCTTTCACATATTTAAGATACTTGCATTTTTTCATAGTGACTTAGTCTTCTGTGTAGATATATTACATTGCT